TATCATAAATAGTGTTTTCATCATTACAATTCGTTCAAGTGAAAATAATACTATCTTGTCTATATGTTGACTAGAATTAACTTTTTGTTTACTAATATAAAAGGGACTAGTATTTTTGTAGTTACTATTTTATTTTTTTATGGTACTTTTTTTTAAAAAGAAAAAAGGTTGTTAAATATATACTGGGTTCTGCATTGGATTTTCTGCTTTTTTTTTTTTATTTAAATAAATTATGCTTCAAATTAAAACAGGTTTGAGGTCAAGAAAGGTCAACATTAGTTACCTGCAAAGAGTTTTTACAAAAGTTTGGTATATTAGAAAGAGTTCCAAAATTATTAACAGACAAAAGAGAATTTTAAGTGATGTCGTCATGATGATGATGTCTCCTATCAATATGAAATAAGTTAAAAAAACTCAGACTTTCCTTTTCTCTCCTCCACTCACATGATCTTTTCTGTACTTTCTCTCTCAGAGAAATTTATATATATATATATATATATATATATATATATATATATATATATATATATGCATATTTTATTTATTTATTTAAATAATCATTGCTTAAAAATATAGAATAAATTATTAAAATTTTTGGGTTGTTATTCATTGTTTATTACACTACATATATATATATATGTGTACATGCAGATATATACCTACACACATACATATACACACACAGATATATGTGTGTGTGTGTGTATATACATGTATCAGAATGTACGTTTCTTATTTTCCTTTATTTATTTAAAATATTGAAATTAAATCATAAACTTTGAAGACCTGAATTGAAAATTAAGATTGTTTGAAGAAAAAATTTTAATGTTTGTTAATGTTTTTTCTTTAATTAAGAATATAAATATTTTTCCTTTCATAAGCATGAATATCTACATAAATACACACAAATGTATACAGGGTGGCTGAGATGCAATATATCCACAAATTTATGACAGCATAATCTCTCATGTAATATCTGGTTACGATTATAAAATTAAATGTAAAAATCCGCTATTCAATATAAAATTAAAAAAATAAGAATCCGGTATTAATTAAAATATTAAAATTAATTAATCTGCTATTAAAAATGATTTATCATACCTTAAGTGCCTTGTGTAATGCATACTTCGACTATCATGTCTTGTTACAATTCATGATTGACTTAGCAGAAGAATTCCCACGGTAGGCTGCTTTTACATTCTGTTGTAGACTGGTTGCCAACCAAGGCTATAGGACCCAGCCTGTCCTGCTATTTAACCCATAGCTGGAGAGAAAAGAGGTGGATTCCTACCTTTTCCAAAGGTATTTCTATGTAAATAACTAACGATCTCGACTAGAATTCGGAGTCAGCTCCCCGATTTCTTATTCCAAACCATTATCTACTACCACCTGCACATTCAAGCATCCATATCACTGTTTCTTGTTTGACCACCAAAGTTAAGCAATGTTGAGCTTGGTCAGTACCTAGATGGGTGACTGAGAATGATTTATAGAATTTTAAAAATATAAAATTGAGACACCTCTTAGGGCCGAAGTTAAGCAACATTGAGCCTTGTCAGTGCCTACATGGGTGGCCATTTGGGAATGATTCATAAAATCTTGAAAGATATAAAATTGCAGCCTAAAGGTATAAAATCGAGATCTCTCCAGCAACGGTAAAGCTCGAGATATTTGCTGAGAAGCAAAACAAAATATATAAAAATAAAATGAAACATGTTTATTTTCTAATTATTTAAGCCATAACAAGAGAAATAATTAGCAGCAGTGTTTGAGAGTTCGAAGATGCCTAATACAGGTACCAATATTCAATTTAATGATTTATATAATTTTAAATCCGGATCTGAAATCTTAAGGGCTGAGTTTTCGTTCAATCTGTTGCAGATTTGAACAAAAGCTCAAAATTTATTGATTTGATGTATTGTTCAATCCAGGTCTCCTGTCATCTCTCAGTGCAATTGTGTGTATTATTTCATTAAAAAAAAAAAAAAAAATTAAAAAAATTATTAAAACCTTTAATTTTTGAGTGTACAGTATGGAACATAACTAAAGGAATTTGATTTTTCAAATTTTAACTTTAAGAAAATACATCAATATATATATATTGGAATGATTTCCTTGATCTCAGATGAAATAGCTTTAAAAATTCTTAAAAAAAAAAAAAAAAGTGTAAAATTTATAAATAAACAGGAAACTCTTATATATTCTGTCTCTTTTTCTTGGAAAACATCCATGTTGGACTCAATATCTAATGAGAACGAAAAAAAAATGAATAAAGAACTTATTAAAATAATTGCTGTCTTTTCGAGTTGTGAATTTTTTTATTGTTTTTAAAAAAAATTTCTAAATTTTAAAGTATCTTTGATCCAGTCTTTGTATGAATTTCATAAAATGGGCATTTTAATAAATGCATGCATTTGGTTCTAATTTCTTCAATATTCTACAATGCTGGACATTCCTGCCTGTTTTCTGGAATATGAAGGTAACTTGTTCTGAGAGAACA